ACTGGCATCTTCTAACTAACCCATGAGAGTGATGTTATCCTTACCCTCATTTTACAGAAAGATAAACTGAGGCCTAGAGAAGTAACTGAGCTAGTATTCTATGGAGAGTGGAGTGTTCTATGGTCTCTAGTGGAGACCTTCCATAAAGCTGAGACTGAAACTGAAGTTTGTCTAATTGGAAGCCTATGCTCTTATTCTTTCTGCATGTTTATCCAGCAAACACTATTGTGTAGGCCAAATGGGCTTGACTTCAGAGCTGCCATTCTATCCACTGGCAATATTTTATTTCTCCTCCGAATTACATAGGTTTTATATATGTTGTCATTTCCCTGAAATTTTCAGAGAATTATGAGGAAGCAGCGGGCCCAAATTTTACTCTAGGAGAAAAAAATAAAAGGAGATGGTAAGTTACTATTGAGAAGTTTACTATACAAAGGTTGGGTTTTCACCAACTGCTGTGAGGACCGGGCTATTCCATCATTCTACTGGGAGAGGGATGAAGGGGCTCATCCTCCGAAGTTCTGAGCGATCTATTACTCAAGGCTATAGAAGGGATTCTGAGGTTGGCTTTACACAGGGTTACTGATTTAAGGTGATCATATAAGCTGGCTTGTCAAGAGTGGTCTTTATGCCTGTTAATGTGGCAGAGCTATTAGTAGCACAGTATTTACTCTTGAGCTATAAGTTAGGGTGACAAATCAGATGACCCCTCTCCTGGAGGTCAGGGTAGTGAAAGATGTTGGAGCAGCTTCCACCACCATCATGGTGGGTGAGGTTTCGGGCTTACAGGGAGCTGCAGCCTGGAGTTCAGGTCATTGGAGTCTCTAATTCTGCTCCTTCTCCATCGGACTGGATGGATAGTGCCTCAGAGATATGGCCTCCGCCCATTAAACTGAATGACTGCTAGTGTTTCGGCTGCTCCAGAGATAATGAGGGCAGGGACCCTTCTTGGCATTGGAGAGGATGAACTAATGGTGGTAAAAGAGGCTAGACTCACCATGAGGCCAGCAGTCTTGGGAAAGGGAGGGTGTGGGCTAGGAATTTAATATTAAGGGGTCCCAGTAAAATTGGGGTCATGGGCCGAGCCATATGAAGGAAGACACATTGTACCTTGTGGCTAGAGTGCTCTTAAATGAGGTATTTATGAAGCTCCATTTCTTCTAGAAAAAAAATACTTATGTTGATTGGAAGAGTAACTTGGGTCACTGAAGTCCCTTACACCAAAAATTTTTTAAAAGTGTTTAAGATACCACCGATCTTGGGTTATGTCTTCACTTGGCTTGTTTTGACTTGGTGTTTCTTATTTTCTCATGCAATTAGTTCAGAAGATATTTGTTGAGTATCTTCCAGATGCTGGGCCATGAGTACAAGGCTATGATGGTGAAAATAGGAACCAGAGTAAGAGAATGTTGTTGCTGCCCATAAACTCAGTCTCAGAAGCTACTACAATATACCATTTAGGCAGATATTTTTAAACGACCCAAACAATACTGTGTATTGTTTATGGAAATGTTCATATGCAATAAAATTACAAAAACATCCACAGGAATGATGCAAACAATCCTAGGGAGGGTAGGAGGGAAGGAAAGGGATGGGCCTGGGCTTTAGCTGCATCATAAACATTTTATCTGAGACAGAGAGAGAGAGAGACAGAGAGAGAGAGACAGAGAGACAGAGAGACAGAGAGAGACAGAAAGAGAGACAGAGAGAGAGACAGAGACAGAGAGACAGAGACAGAGAGACAGAGAGACAGAGACAGAGAGAGACAAAGCGAAACAGAGAGACAGAGAGAGACAAGAGAGAGACAGAGAGAGAAACAAAGAGAGATATTTAAATTTGCTAACTCTCAAAATGATATCAGTGATATTTTTAAAATATTTTAATATTTTTCTAAATATTTCAAATATTTTATGATTAAACATTAAAACAAAATGGCACTTCTATATATACAACTATAATTTGTTGCTTTATAATTTAGAAAATAAAATTTAAAAGATCCTACAGCAGCCTCCAAGGAAGATGTGCCTGTTAAAATGGATGGGCCTTCCATGCTTACAAATATGCATCCCTCAAGGGACACGGAATGAGAAAGAGAGAGCAGTGAGACACACTGAGGCTGGGGCCCCTGGCTTCATGGGGTCTGCAAACAACTCGGAGTATGGTTTGGCAGTTGCACGGAAAGGCTCTCTGCATGCGATTTGCAGTGCTGTGTGTTGCTGTGCTGCAAACCTCTCTATCCATGTGCATGCGTGCATCCAGTAAGAGTTGGTTTCTAAACCAAAGAAGGTGCCAGCTTCATATGTGGGTGATGCTTATACAGAAGGAATTAGCAAGGCAGACAGCCAACACCCTGCCACCCTAACAGTTAGTTTGCTCCCTGGAATCAGGTGTTGGGATCTGTGTCTTGAAGAATTCATAGAAAACTGGAGAAGGATTTCCACAGGGCCAGGCAGAAGAGTGAGTGGAATTGAGGCAACCTTTTTGAAAGCATCAGAGCAGGGAGACCTCATTGGTCTATGGGCGAAATTATTCCCCCTGTTGGTGAGGTGGGACACAGTAAGTCCTTGGACCACAGTCATTATGAGTCAGACTCTAGGCAAGATGAGGAAATTAGAAAAAAGTTGGGGAGGAAAATGTGAGAGAGCCAGAAAGAAGGAAGCAAAACTAGAGGAAAGTTCATACTATGGGACCTTATAGAGGCAGATGGGGCTGGCTCCCTGCTCTCTGTGTGTTACAGTCTGGATCTAAAACGTCCCCCAGATTCTCATGTGTGTGGAAGGTGATTGAATCAGAGAGGAGCTAGAGCTGACTTTCTGTTAGGAGGTGGGGCCTGGTTGGAGATAGGTCATAAATGCGTGGCCGAGGAGGGAACATTTCCCTCTGTGGCTCCTCCCTTTTGCCTCTGCTTCCTGGCCACCATGACATGAGCAGAGCTCCTCTGGCAAACCTTCCACCATGCACTTCCTGTCTTGTAGCCAGTCAGGCAACAGTGGACCTAATCCTCTAAAAAAATGTAAGCCAGGGCCGGGGATTTAGCTCAGTGGTTCCGCTGCCTGCCTCACAAGCCCAAGGCCCAGAGTTCGATCCCTATTACCAAAAATAAATTAATTAATTAACTTTTTTAAAAGTAAGCCAAAATAAATCTGTCCTCCCTTAAGATGTGGGTGTTGGGTATTGTGTTTCAGAAATGATGGAAGTGTCTAAAACAGCAGGACACTCATTGCACAATGGGAGGTGCTCAACCTTCCATACCATGTGTGAGTTCTGAGGGTGAGGGTATTGGACAGTGGAAGCCAGACTGGACCGGATCCTTGCTTTATCTGCCTTTCAGACGGTGGGCCTCCAGGAACTTTAGAAGAAGTCCCACTTACAAATGCATTGGGAACTTTCACCAAGTTGCCAACTTATGACCACAAGATGGCCTGAGGTCTGGAAGGAGGCAGTGACCTAGAAAAGACAAAGGCTGGAGAGTACTATTTTGCACTATATATGGTGCAGTCTCTGACCAAACTTTCATCTCGACTTTAGAGGTCTGGTATCAGAGTCCCATAGCAGCTTATCTTCTAGATGGGGAAACAACTGATGTGGTAGTGGATTGGGTTAGGGGTGAGCTGAGGAGGGAGAGGCTGGGAGGGGGCAAAGGCTGGGAAGGCTGCAAGGGAGGAGAAGCAAAACAGGGTTCTTGGAAATGAAACCGCTTCCCCAAGAGAAACAGCCTGATGCGATAAGAGCAAAGTAATAAAAAACAGACAGCTCACATTTCCCTGGAACTAGAGAGCCAAACAGCAGTGGGGTTTTGGCTGTTCCAGATCACTGTGGGAGTCAGTGTAAGTTCTTCCTCAGCCCCCAGAGGGGAAGGGGTGGCGGATCTTGTGTCTGGGGCTCCCCGCTGATTCTATGGCAGAGAGCTCAAAGCCTTGGAAAGAGCAGCCCTCTTTCCTCCACTGTGGCAATGTTACTCTTCCCAGCATTGCACACACAGGGATGAGGAGTCCTGCAGTTCACTGGCTCCTTCTTCCACACCCACCCCTTTCATCCCCACAGCTGCTTCACTAAATCACCCAGCTCAGAAAAAACTCCTCACACCCTTAGCTGTTTTCTTGCTGCACCCAGAGAGCTTGTCTTGAATTAAGAGGCAGCAGGTAGGTGGAATCTGGCTTCCTTTGATAGCCTGGTTCAAAGGAGGCAGGGGTGGGATTGGACATTGGATCACATGATCAGTCCTCCCCATGCCTCCTAGCCCACTTCCTCCAGAGCAGGATCCCTCAAGCTTTCAGCAGCTTGTACCAAAACACAGCCTGAGTTCTTGCACCATCAAATGACTGTCGTTTCTGCAACCTGGCAGGCAAAGTCTGCTTCTTTGCCAGCTGGAAGAGGGAAGTGGCAGGTCTCTAAGAAGAAAGTGAGACCTTGCCTTCCAGCTGAGAGATGCCTGGACCTGGAGGAAGAGGCTCCATGTTAACCCAGAGTTTTCATTTCCTCCAAGAGCAGCAGGACGGGTAATTCCGAAGCAGGGATGGGTGCACAAAGGCAAGGATGAGCATCTGCTGCTTCATCTCAAGCACAGCTGTGCCAAAGAATAAGAAGGAACAGTTATGTAACTTCCTCATGTCAGCTGGAGACATCAAGGCATTGTTGGCGCCTCTCTGGGTTTCCATCCCTTGGTCCAAATGTCCCCTGGGTTGATTTGTCCCGGATCCATCTTGGTGGAACACCATCTCTCTTTTTTCTTTTAATCGTCACAGAGGCCGGTACAGCAACACTGATTGGGTTCAGATTATGTGTACGTGGGGGCCCCACAGTGAGCTGAGAGCTGTGGTGGTTGTTGAAAGTGATGAAGACATGATTCGCCATCTAACAGGTGGGGAAGGACACAAAGACTGGTCTCCAGATGGTTTAGTTTAGACTTATGCAGGTATTCAGATCACTAAGAGTACAAGTACATGGGACAATGTAATCTCAGTGACACTTTCTTTTTTTTTTTTTCTTTTTTTGTACAGGGAATTGAACTCAGGACATTTGCACTGAGCTACATTCCAAGCCCTTCTTAAAGAACGCACTTGCTAAGTCACTGCTTTCCCTGGATGGGCTTGAACTTTCAAACCTCCTTCCTCAGTCTCACAAAGTGAGTACACCACCACAACCAGGTTCAGTGTCTGACACGCAAGAGCAATTTTATAGGTCAGGGTATTATTATTTGCTGCCTCTCTAATGGCTAAAATCCTGCCTGTTCATATTGCACATATTAGGTACTCCACAAAATTAAATTGAATGACTTCATCTATTCCAATGTCAATGCTTCTCTTACATTAAGAACCTGTTAGAAATGTTTCCTAACTTCCTTATAATTTTCATTGGTACCCTAAAGATAAGAGGCTAAACAGTTTAAATTGGTGACTCAGAGCCCGATACTAACACAATTACACCATCATATGAACAGGATAACTGTCCTCAGATAAGATATATGTCTCTTTGTTCCTCTACTAAATGGCCTCAGACAGTTGTATTTCTTCTGCTGTATTTGTGTTGTCTTCCTGTATCTTGTTTCAAGGCTAAATTGTAATTTTACCATCTTGTTATTTGGGGGCATCTACCCTTACCCTCCTGGATTCTAATTTGTTCCTTTGAGTCTCTGACCCTCGTGGTTTAGCCTAGTGGGATAAACTCCAGGCATTTGGAGATCCAGGTTTAGTCTCACCTTGTGTAACTGGATAAACTGATTGGTCCCTCTGAAAGTCAGTAACCTCATCTTTAAAATAGGAATAAAAATGCCTCATTGGTTACTGTGGGAATTCAGCAAAATAGTTTATGTATAATTAAGATGTTAAGGAACTCACAAGCCTCGAGAACAAAATACAATTTGAGTGCACATACTTCTCCTGGGTTCTGTCCCCAACCATAGCAACTCCTAGCCTATTTCCCAGCTCTGCCCAAAGTTCTCACCCTGCCTGTGGCGTTTTCCGTTCCGCCCTCCCCTGGCAGATGTGTGGCTCTCTCAGAGCTTCAGCACTGCTGTGATGCTTGGGCAAGCGCCAGTGTGCATGCCGAGTGCTGCCTGGATGCTGATCCTTCGTTCTCAGTTGGCTGCTCACTGCTTGGTTCTGTGCAGAAGGAAGAAAGCTTTTCCCTGAAGGGCAGTGTTGCTGCACCTGAGACACAACACGGTCCTGCCTCTGCTCAGAGCCTCGAGTATTTTCTTGAATAATTCAATGGGCTTCTGAGCATCAATCCCTGCTTAGAATCTCACTTTCCTTCATGGAGAACAGCAGTATCAGTTTCTTTTTCTCTGCTGGTCCTGTAACATTTTCCCAACAAGTGGGAATAGATGTCATGATAGCTACTCTATACACAATTACTTTCTTCTTGGCTCTTTTGGCCAGGGCTCAAAATTCTTTTTTCATTCTGAGTTACAAAACCCAACTATGACCCACTGATTACTGTGAATGGCACTAGAACAATCTGTTCTCTTGCAAAAGGTACCTGAACCAGAAAGAATTCCAAAAAGGGACCAGTGAGGACGGGGGTGGCTGCTCGTAAGATAACCAGACAGGAGGCCAGCGATTCTGCTATGGCCTGAGTGCTCACTCAAAGAAAATCTCATGTGTTGAAATTATGTGAGGCAAGGGCATGGTATTGGGAGTGGCATCTTTGGCATGTGTTTAGGTCACAGAGGCAAAGTCTTCAGGAATAAAATTTTAATGACCATATAGAAGAGGCCCAAGTGAGACTCTTTTCCCCACCACCTTGTGAGGCTAGAGGAAGAAGAGAGCAGTTCAGGAGAAGAAAGGTCCTTGCCAGACATGGAACCCGCTGCTGCCTTGAGCTTGGACTTCCCAGAGAGGTCAGGTGTGGTGGCACATACCTGTAATCCTAGCACTCCAGAGGCTGAGGCAGGAGGATTATCATGAGTTAGAGGCCAGCCTTAGCAACAGAGTGAATTTAAGGCCAGCATGAACTACATAGTGAGGCCCTGCCTCAGAACAAAATGAAACAAAACACCTGTGAGAAATGACTTTCTGTTGTTTATAAGCTACCCAGTAGCCAGAACAAATGAAGACAGTCATCACCCTAAGTTTTACTCTAGGTTATGTCTGCAGTATCCAACCTACAAAACCATATTTTGCCAGGTAAATCCCAGCAAAGAAATATAAGACAATTTATCTTGCATTGAAGTAGCTTGTAAATCTATTCATTCAACTAACATTAATTGAGGTGTTACTCTAAGTAAGCAAACTACCCTGCTTGAGGAAGCAAGTACTCACTGCTCTGACCCTAAGAGAGATTTCAGGGTGGTGGAAATGAAAGCCATTAATCATCAAAGAGATAAAGGTACAATATACATTATGCATGATAATGATAGTGATGAACACATAACTGGGGAGAGAGCTGCTTTAAAAACACATTAAAGTAGGGCCAGGGATTTAGCTCAGTGGTTCCACAGCCTGCCTCACAAGCACAAGGTTCCGAGTTCAATCCCTGGTACCAAAGCAACAACAGCAACAACAACAAAGAACAAAACACATTAAAGTAGGGATTATCATTACTGTTTTCCAGGTGGTAACCCTGAATTCGCAGAGCTTTTGTAACTTGCCTATGTTCACATCAATAATAAGTAGGAAATCTGGATGTCAAGTATGCAGACTGGCTATCAGCCTCCATTTTCCACTGTGTGTTGCACTGATTATTGCTATGAAAGAAATCGTAGCAATACATTGAGCCACATGACAGTCAGCTTCATTGTAGTGTGGACAGGTGAAGTTAAAGAAGGCTTCCATGAGAAAATGGAGTTTGAGCTGAGATAAGAAGGGAAGAGAGGGCTAATAAGGCAAATGGGTTGGGTACTGGAATGGCTCCACTTGGGAAGGACGCAGCCTATGAGGGGGCCTGAGCTGGAAGGGAGCATACAGCACTTGAAGGAATGAGAGGAAGTTCACAGCATGGGACGTTGTTCATTTTATGGTCATGAGGTTGGAAGTGATGCTGCCTTTTTGTGTCATGGGAACCAGCGCCCTGGGGAGAGAAATGGACTGGTCTGGTTTAGTGGATTTCTCCTCTGACTGTGCTAGGGTGCATCTATCACTTTGGCTTATTTTTTAAAATTAAGCCTCTTTTTATATATATAAACAGTTTATTTACTGTAAACAGCAACACAGACAAAACACCATATAAACACGAAGGAAGTGATGCAGAATCAAGACACTAGCTGACTTTGGATCCGAGGCTCATAAGCAACACAGCCCAGGTTCTGAGCTCAAGATCACTAAGCATATCATCCCTTTCTCACTCCCCTGCTTAAAAATTCTATCTGCCAAAAAGAAAAAAATCTATCTGCCTTCTTATTCTTCTTTGGATGAAGATGAAACTCCTTAAGAGAACCCCCAAGCTCTGTGTGGGTTGGGGCCTTCTTGTTCTCTGGCTGTCCTTTTCCCTCCCCTCTAATCTGCTCTCCATGCTCCAAATGTCGCACCAGGCAAAATATTTCTTTTTCAGTCCTTCATGCTCCTTCTGTCTCTTTCTGCCTGTAAAATTATCCTTTCCCTCTTTGTTCATTCATGTATTCAGAATTATTCTCCAGCATCTATGATGCATCAAGTACTCTTCGAAGTCCTTTAATGACAGCTGAAATTAAAGATGTGTTCGAAGGAAGAAGTAAGTAGAAAAGACGAAGAGGAGGAAGAGGAGAAAGGGGAATGGAAGAAGAGGAAGGAAGGAGGAAGTGGGAGAGGAGAAAAGGGGGAAAGAGTAGGGGAGAGGAGAGGACAGGGAGAAGAAGAAGAAATCAGCTCAGGGTAACAGCTAACTAAAGTCAAGGAAGCTAGTGGAGAAAACCTTGGTGTACTTTTGACTGGTGGTTAAGGAAGGCCTTTAAACTGAGACCTGAATGATAAGAAGAGCCAGACTGGCAGAATTAACAGAGAAGAATAATCCAGGCAGAAGGAACTTTTTTTTGAGACAAAGTCTTGCTATGTAGTTCAGGCTGGCCTCAAACTTGCAGCAATCCTCCTGCCTCAGCCTCCTGAGAAACTGAAAGTGTAAGTGAGGAGCAAAATGTATAATAGATATTGTGAAATAGGAAGAACATGTTCAATGGGTAAGGAAACTAGGGAGGGGTGCAGAGGAAAGGAAGGAAGGGAAAGGAAAATAATGAGAAAAGAAGGGAAAAAATGGTAACAGCTTTTGTAAATAAGGAGGAAAAGAGGGGTTGAAGGCAGGGGAATGGGAAAAAATGAGAATCAAGATATATCATGAACAGGGACAAATTCTCTATGATGAATGTGATCATGATGTATACCTACAATGTGCCAATAAAATTAATTTTAAAATTCCAGGCAGAGGGAACTAAAATCTCCAAAGGTCATGAACTGAGAATAAGAATGGAATGCTTAAAAAACTGAAATAAAGAGTAGGTGACCAAATAAAAGTTAGGGGTGGGATTAGTGGTGAGAATGGAAATAGGAACAGATGAGGCCAGAGACAGTGCCAGGTCTTGTAGGGCTGCCTCAGCCAGTGGGAGGAGTTTGAATTCTTTTCCAACCGACACTGAAGGTTTTTCAGAAGATTGACGTGATGTGATTTACCTTTTGCATGGATCCCTAGGACTGCTCCGTGGAAAGTTGAGTGTAGGAAGTAAGAGTGAGACCGTTCATAAGATAGAAGTTGGAAAGGAGGGGAGGGAGGCCCAGGAAGAGGCAGAGGGAGGCAGAGACAGGGAGGAGAGAGAGGGAGCCGCTATGGAGGGTGATGGGAAAGGGTTGGAATCCTGACCTTCCTGGGGTCTGTGGGTGTAACGGCAGTGATAACTGAGGAACTGCTTTGAGAAACCGGATGTGAGAGAGAGAGAAGAATCATCCTCAACTTTTGGTGTGATCGATTGTATCAGGTGGTGGTGCAGATGGGAAAGGCTGGGGGAGGAGTTGATGTTTACGGGATCTGTTGAGAACTCTACTCTGGGTGGATGTGTCAATGTGAGACGCTGATTTACCATCTGAGTGGATTCTCAAGTCTGGATATTCGAGGAGAGGCTGGGCTGGATGCCCATGTTTGGGGGAACTGGGGATCTATCCGTGATGTTCGGTCATGGGGAGATGTGTGGATGGGGAAGAGAAGGCGGCCTGCCTGATTAGC